GGGACACTTCTGAACGACGGAAACTGACTGTTGGAAAACGTAGATTAAAAAACGTCTGTTTAGCCGCGTTTTCAAAATGCGTTTATGCGCGTTTATGTGCATTTGCATTTACAAGTGTTTTTTAAAGATAACCTCAGGAGAACCTCCCAAATGCCCAGAATGCACTGAAAAGTGGTTTATTATTAACTATTTCAGACTGTTTCAGAGAATTACAGAGAGTAGAAGCAGAGATAGCAGTATGTGTTGAGATTAGCTTAGGTGTGAGTTGCTCATTAATATTTCATTTGTTTACAAGGGCAGGAAAGGTGTCTGGTGCAGTGAGTCAATAAGGCTACCTGGCAGGGGGTCTTCATGAGGAATTTGAGGTGTGAATGGCCATTAACATAGCTTTTGTTTCCAAAGATGGGAGAGGTCTCAGATGTGAATTGGTCCTTACAATGTGTGACAAGCTTGGTAGGAACATCCTGTGTTCAGTGTTTTGTGCATTCGAGTACCTTAAAAACACTTTGCATGCATTTTTCGTGATGAAAAAAGGCTCTGGACAGCATTGGGAACTGGAAGAGTTAAAAAAAAATTTCAAAAGCAAACGGTTATAATCACGATTTACCGCGTTTACAAGCCTTTTTGCGTTTGAAACACTGATAAAATCGGCTGCTGAATGGAAGTTTTCTGCGTTCAAACAAATGACTGTAAACTCAAATGACTGTAAACGAAGATGTGTACATGGACACATAGTAAAACATTAGGGTGACTTCAGGGGCTACTGAAAAAATGCTGAACGGCTCCTAAACGCGCGTTTATCAGCTGCAGTGTACAAGAGCCACACTGTTTTTTTGTTGTCGATCATTAGATATGTAGACTGTTTTTTTCTGCTACTCCTAGGGCCATTTGGCAGTTTTGTTCCTGCCTCTAAACTGCATGCTGGCCTATGTGTCCATGCACACATAGACATCATTTTTCACTGCTTCATGGGCATAGTTTTGAGGCTTCACATAATTGGTATCTAATGATTTGACGCAAATTCATCTTTTTTTGTGTCCAAAAATGAAAAATGTTTTGTGTGCACCAAAATATTCATGTTAATGTATATTTTAGTGAAAAATATACATTTGAACAGTTGCACAATAATCATATGATCTAAAAAACTGCAATTATCACCCTTTTGCTTCCAGACAGTATAACATGTTTTGGGGGATTTAAGTAATTTTCTATCCCAAAATGCAGATTTTAATATGTGTTAGAAATGAGAAAAATTCTCTGGTTGCAAACTGGTTAAACTAGGTAATGGGGCAACTAATTTATCTTGTAAGCAAGCATGCATGTTTACCTAAATTTAAGAAGTAATTTTCAGCTTCTTGCATAAGCATCATGACTTAATCTTCTTCGATGTATTTGCTAATTCCCTTTCACGCTCAGTAACCATAAGATATTACACAGGTCAGTAGGAGACCACAATGAACTTGAAAACCAAAGGCACACCTACTGACTTTCACAATTTGATATTGAATGGCCTGCAGTATATAAATATTGTACTGGTATTGGTAAATTCACCACTGCATCTTTGTACAGCAAGAACAAAGAACAGACCCACACATCATGGCCAGTAAGTATTTCATAATGGGGACCACTCTTTTCTATGGCAGAACTTGCTTTAGTAGTTTTGTGACATTTACATAGTAATCTGTTTAAATATGAATTTACAGACATCCAACCTTAACATCTTAGCTACTACAATCCAGACAAATTTATTATTACAGCTTGTGTATCTATTATTGCTGTTCTTCTGGAAAGTGTTCGGTGGACCCAAAGGGCTTTATTTACTAAAGCTGGAGAGTCCAAAATCAGACTCCCTTCTGCATAGAAAACCAATCAGCTTCTAACCTCAGCTTATTCAATGAAGCTTTGGCAATGAAACCTGGAAGCTGATTGGTTTCTATGCAGAAGTGAGTCTGATTTTGCACTCTCCAGCTTTAGTAAATAAACCCCAATATGTCACCTCCTCACAACCTGTTTTAACCCTGAAAATGCTGACCTACTTCTCCGCAAGCAAGGTGTTTCAGCCACAGCATGTGTACAGCCCTGAGTAGCTGTATCCCCTTGTTCAAGTGGGTGGGTGGGTAGCAACATCACAGTTAGACCACCTGATTTTACCACCCTCTGGCCACATGTGTGACCAAGCCCTTGCCAGGGCAGCCTTTCTCTGCTCAGTTATCATCCACGCTTCTTTTTTTCCATCAGCAGTAGAATACAGTCATCTAATATAATTGAATGTATGCATTGCTGCAATATGCTGAACTAGGTTAAGACTGATAACATAGGAAAATGTTATTTCTAAGGACTCATTCTGATTGATGTTCAGCAGTCCTTGTTGTCCTTGTTTGTCTGAAAAAAGATTCTTTGTGAAATGCTTTTCAGAAGGAATTTATTAGGCAGTGAGGATGTGTTATGTCACCTCCTCACAGCCTGTTTTAATCCTGTAAAATGCCAACCCACCGCTCTGTAGGGCGGTTGCCGTGTGGCCCCATTAATTTGAATGGGTTGCATATTATGGTGGCTGTACTGCCTATCAAACCCAACATGAAGTTTAATTTTTGCCCCAGCATGTGGACAGACCTTAACCCTTCAATAAATCCAGAACAGGCATGCGATTAGAAAGTCAGACTTAGGCCAGCACTCCTAATCACCAAACAAGTTTAAGGCCAGAGCCAGTGGATCAGCATGATGGCCAGGCTGCAATAATTTTCAGAAAGAAATTGAGAGCGCCTTCTATTCAAGTCTGTTTTTAGCACTACAGATGCAAAGATATCCATACAATTGTATAGTATTACTATTATACAGGATGTATATATCATCAACAGTTTGTGCAGCGCTTTACAATATAAAGGGAGACAATACATTTCAGTACAGAAGGAACAGGAGGGCCCTGCTCATGGAGCTTACAATCTAAAGGAAGGGGGAGGTGGTACAAAAGGTGATAGCTGTAGGCAATGTTCTGATGGAGATGGCTCAAGTACAGTTTTAAGGTGGAGGTGGGGTAGGCTTCTCGGAAAAAATCAGTTTTCAAAGATCGCCTAAAGGCAGACAGGGTGGGAGCTGACCGGACATACTGCAATAAGAAGTTCCAGAGGATGGGAGAAGCTCTGGAGAAGACCTGGAGGTGAGCGTGGGAGGAGGTGACAAGGGAGCTAGAGAGCAAGATGTCTTGGGAGGAGCAGAGCGGGCGATTTGGACAACATCTGCAGATGAGGTTGGTGATGTAGCTAGGGGCAGTGTTGTGGATGGCTTTGTATTTGGATTTAGCCACTGATTGGATGTGGGGCCCGAAGGAGAGGTCAGAGTCTAGTATCACACCTAGAACCCCAGCATGAGGTAAAGGATAGAGTTCCACCTTCTGGTTGAAAGTGGTTACAAATGGAATAGTCATATACAACATATTTACTATTTAATTAATTAAAATACATTTAATGATGTGTGCATTATAGAACAGGAGTGGCAGCTGTCCCTGGCAGAGAGGAAGAGAGATGGTCTATGCTCTCCCCCTTCAGCTCCTCCCTCCTATCACAGCAGTGCTCATCGATATAGGAATGCTGTCAGATTGGGACTGCGTAGGGCTTCATTACGCGCCCCATCTCCTACCTAGGCTGCACCTCTCCAGGCAACAGAAAATGCGGGTATAACTGGATACTAACATTTACAGATATAGTTGATCCAGGGAATATCTGATTGCCTCTCGTGGGATCAGGAAGGATTTTTTCCCCCTGCAGGAGCAAATTGGATCATGCTTTTCTGGGCTTTTGTGCCTTCCTCTGGATCAACTGTGGGTGTAGGATTATAACTTTTTCTTTGGTTGAACTAGATGGACTTTTGTCTTTTTCTGCCAGGCTAACTATGTAACTATGGTGCTGGTTGTAAACAAATACCAGAAGCCATGGTATATATCTGTGAAATTGGTTGGTGGCTCAGGGTACTTTAGGGCAGTGGTCTCAAAACAGTAACCCAGAGGTCACATTCTGCTCTTTGTTCCCCTTGGGACACTATTCATCCCTATGGTACAAGGTACTATTCTACCCAATGACAGCAACTAACCTCTGAGGGTCAATAAAACTGTACTTTAGTTTAGAAATTCTGGAGATCCCTTGTTTAGAGTAATGGGGCAAGCAGGATAAGTGAAATTTGTTTTTAAGTTCAAGTAGCCTTAAACCAATGGAACTAGTCAATGAGAAGTTTGCTTTCATGTTTGACCTGAAACATAAAAAACAATTTGGTGTCCACTTGGTTACTAAAGGCACCGCCTACATATTTTGCTCTAGTTCTTGTTATAAAGGACCTGCAAAACTATGCAAGGTTTCCCTTAAGAATTTGTGCCGTTAGTTAGGATTATTTTATCAGAGAACATATCCATAGGATATATCATATTTTTTATTATATTTATTTCAAGCACTTATATACTTAGATTAAATGTTGAATGTTGCCATGTATTTAAAGAATATGTAACCTCAACGTTTCATATTCCTGATATGTGCCTGCAGTACCATGTACCAATATGTAAAAGTATCCTTTTCTCTTTGTATGGCTTCCTTTGTGTGAAATCCATGTTTTTCCTGTCAGTGCTTCTGCTTTCCTATTAAAAACTAACAACACTAGGTATGAGAGTACAGAGTGGTCAGTGCTCTAGCTATGCTGAAAACTCAGTGTGCTCTCCTCCAATGATCAGGCTTCTGCTGACATGACCTCCCTACACAGCCATTCACTTGGAAGTTCAGTGTTCTACTGTTTTTCCTCCCCTAGCTTTTTTGCAGATGAGAATGGAGGGTATGTAATCACTTATAAAAAAAGATGAAAATGTATATAATGTTTTTTTTAATATCTATACACAAATGTATTGTCTTTCATTTCCAATTTAAACTGAATAGGTTGTTTTATAAAGTGAGGATTTACAATTACTTTAACTGTCTCCAGACATGCTCCAACTACAAAGTGTTGATTTTAATATGGCAAAGAACAAACCTGACCACCACACGAGTGCCTATTTCTCCAACAAGCTCATTTTACGAAGAGGACAAGCTTTTATGGTGACTCTAACTCTCAACAGGGCCCTAAAAACTGGAGACAATATTACCTTTGATGTGCAAACAGGTAAGACATTTAGGGATTCTAATGCAGAGTAAATTCTTAATTAATATGGGTGAGAAAACATTTTAACTATTACAGTATGAAAGATGAATTCCAGGCAGGAAATATTTTTATATACTGTAGTTATATCAGCCCAGCTTGGATCAGTGTAAATATGAATGTACCCTACCTGGCCGATCCCCCCAGGAGCTGGAAATCACTGTATTATGCAAGTCTACTACTAGCTTCAGGGTTCTGTGCATGGGACGGGTGCCATTCAGATAATGCTTAGCATTTTCTCAACAAATGCAAAGTATTCTCTAATTGGAGGTGGTGGAGATTATAACGTCATTCCATCCCCTCTCCACCTTGTTTAATCAGAGAACACTTTGCATGGGCACCAGTGGGAAAACGTAAAATGTTCCCTGAATGGTGCCTGTGCTGAGCAGGCAACCTCTTGTGTTGAATAAGCAATAGGGCAGTCACTAGACACAGCATACAGAAGCTAGTGGAGATCACTGTAGTAGTGGCACTTACTACAGTGATTTCTAGCTTCAAAAGGGATCCCACAGGTATGGTAACTTCATAGTTACATTGGTCCAAGCTGGACCCAGTTAAAGTGGTTGTAAAGGCTCAAGGTAAAGGGCGAATGCTTATCTGAGCCCCATTGCGATCCAGCGATCTGAATGAGAGCCAAGGCTCTCCGGGGACTCTCCCTCCTCATTGGCTGAGGCAACGGTGAGAGCCATTGGCTCCTACTGCTGTCAATAACAGCCAGTAAACCAATGAGGAGAAAGGGGAGAGGGGTTGAGCCACGGCTCTGTGTGTGAAAAGACATGCAGAACAGTGGCTCAGGAGCGAGCCTGCTTGGGTGCCCCCATAGCAAGCTGTTTGCTTTGGGGTCATTTGGTAGGAGGAAGGGGCCAGGAGCACCAGTGGGGGACCAAGGAAGAGGAGTATCAGAGCTGATCTCTGCAAAACCACTGCACACTGGATATTTTGATAACGCTGTTAATGTTATCTGTGTAAAGTTTTTCGGCGTTTGTGAATTAGCGTTTAGCCGCGTCTTGCTGTGTTTTTCCACGTTCGCAGATTTTAGCCCTTTTTAACGTTTTAGTTTTTGCAAAATAAATTTTTTTTTTTTTCCGTTCAAAAAAAGTCCAAAAATGCTGGTTTGCAGCGTTTTTACCGCATTTTTCAGTGTTAGAGTGTCTTTACAGCTAAAATACTCCTCTAGTTCTGGGGTTTTTTCCAGTCAAAAAAATGTCCCAGTCAAAAAACGTTGATTACAATCTATGTGTGCATGGACACATAGGATAACATGCTGGGGGGGTTACTAGCTGTAGAAAAAAACATCAAAAGCCAAAAACAGCCGCTGTAAAAATGTCCAGTGTGCATGAGGGCTAAAGCTTTGGCAATAAAACCTGGAAGATGATTGGTTTCTATGCAGAGCTGCACCAGATTTTGCACCCTGCAGTTTTAGTAAATAACCCCCTAACTGACATTGTTTATAAATATAAAAAAAAAATGCTGTCTTTAATCCTACCTAAAATACACTGACCCTGATCTTTTATCTGACCTTTGACTCTAATCATGACCTTTGACCCTTATCTTGACCCTAAGGTCTCACTGGATGCGACTTAGCCTGTGATTTGCATGTCTTGCAAATCGCATGCCAAGTCGCACCGTATTGTTCACAATTACAGCAGTCATATCGGTGCGGTTCTGACTTGGTCGGAGCCGCACTGATTTCTAAAGTAGTACATGCACTACTTTTGGTGCGATTTGCATAGACATCTGTGTCAGGTGTCTTGCAAATCGCACCTCAAATCGCCATGACATCCGACTTTTAAATTGTGCAACTTCACTGTAAGTCGCACGATTTCAAAGTTGGGATCTGTGTGACCGGGGTGTATCTCTAAGGCTACTTTAACACTGAGGAGTGTTTGAAGCGTTTTTGAAAAAATAAGCACCTGAAAAACTCAAGAAAACTGTTTCCCTATGTATGTGAATGTATATCTATGTATGTTTTCACACTAAGGCATTGCGTTTGCGGTGCGGTGTAAAAACTGCTTGCAGCATCTTTGGGGCATGTTTGGTGAGTTAAAAAAAATGCCCCAAAAACACTTCATCCCATTAAAATCAATGAAAAAGACTGAAAAACGCCTAAAATATGCCTGAAATACACCTGAAAAGTGCCTAAAAACGCCTCTGAGAAGCATTTTTGGTGCCGTTTTTAAGTCAGAAAGTGCAGCAAAAACGCGGTAAAAAAGCCTGTGTGTTTTGCTGTGTTGTTGTGGTGGATCAGTGTGAAAGTAGCATTACTGTGACACTGACCTAGATCAACACCTGAGCTAGCTATTTTTATTGTTTTTATTATTATTATAATTATTATTTTTTGCACACATTTCTATGTGTACATTTTTCTCCACTAGCATGCAGAAAAACAAACACATTTGTTTTTTCCCATTCCAGAAGAGAAAACAACACAGGGGCGGGCTATACATTGACTGATCACTGTGATAGCCAATCAGATGCTATCACAGCAATCAGGTGATTGGGAACTGGGCCTCCAATTTCCTGATCATTAGTAGGAGACCTGGAGCTCTCGATGAGAGCTTGGTCTGTGCTGGAAGCGTGCTGTGTCCCATGGATAAAGATCTACTTCTGTGAGGCCACATATAGGCGTAAGATCATCGGGAAGGGCTTAATACCACCATATTGAATGTGCCCTTGTGGCTAACAGAAACCAGTGTTCAAAAACAGACTAGAAAAACATAAAGTGGTAGTAAACCCATTTTGTGTACCTTTACCTACGGGTAGGCTTATAATAAAGCTTACCTGTAGATAAAATAAATATCTCCTAAAGTGCACCCTTAGGAGAAAGTCAAGTTTTTTTGCAGCCAGCGCATGTGCTTTGAAGGAACAGCATACCTATGCCGTTCCTTCAGAGCTCTGTGCCGTGTCCCAAGACCCCCGTGTGCATGCGCAGGAGTGACGTCATCACGGCCCAGCCAGTCAGATGGCTGGAGCTCATGAACCCAGAAGGAAGACCGGGTGAAGATGGAAGCTTCCACAGCGTTGACAGCGTGATACTGAAGGGCTTTGTTTTAAGGTGTTTTACATAATGTACTAGTATACAATGCATACTAGCACATTATGTCTTTAACTTGCAGGAGATTTTTTTCTTCTTTTATTTGGACGCAGTTTACTAATGATGTGAAAATTTTTTTTAAAAAATCACCGAGCCCAGATAGCTTAGACTTGGGAGTTTTCACAGAACTTAGCCAGAATTTAGAGGTGTTTCAATCTTAAACTGTTCTTTACTGTTAGAGTGGTCAGGATGTGGAAATCTTTTCCACAGTCGATGGTGTTAGCGGGGAGTGTAGATTAATTCAGAAATTTTTTTTAGATGTTTTTCTTAGTGAACACAATGAACAGGGAAATGGAAAATGTTAGTGACCCCCCCCCCCCCCCCCCCCCCCCCCCCCCCCCCCCCCCCCCCCCCCCCCCCCCCCCACACACACACTCACAAACACACACTTAGGTTGAACTGGATGGACTGGTATCTTTAAATCAACCTTACCAACTATGTAATGATAGCACTTTTCACTGTATATTGATAATTCTCATTTAAATCCCTGATTAATCTGGATATATTAAAATCTATAAATGCATTGGATGTGATTGCAACCATTAAATATATCATTTTTTAACTCATAACTATTCCCTCATCCATCTCTATGTAAGGTTTAGCCCCTATGGATGGGACTAGAGAGTTTTCCATTTGTTGTACCATTTATTCATTCTATGTATGATGCTGTTTCTTTAAGGGAAATCACCTGATGTTGCCAAAAGAACAAAACATACATTCTCTCTGTCTACAAACGAAGTCGCTACAGGGAGTTGGAAGGCAGTTTCCAACTCTACCAACTCAAACTCTCTGACTGTATGGATCACACCTCCTGTTACTGCTGTCATTGGATATTACCAGATGAGTGTCCGTATCTTCTCTGGAACATACATATCCCATAAGCTGCCAGGATTCATTCTACTCTTCAACCCATGGGCCATTGGTAAGGGCTTAGTGAGTAACCTATCATGGATTACTAACTCATTGAAAGAAACACTGATCTACATATAAATGTTGTGCGTGGGCAACAAGTCGATTCATTTTAAACCAAATGCTGATTCAACATTTAGCTTATTCTTTTGAGTTTGATTAAATGGGAGCTCTACATGCCAGATTTTATCAAGGTGACTAGATGCTGGCAGATGTTTGCTGCAAACATCCAATCACGTTAAGAAAACGCTCTGTTTCTTTTCAAGTCTCCATGAAAATCATTGAATGTTTTTAGAGAACACAAGTTCACTTCTTAAAGTAGAAAGTCTTCTATGCTCACTTCCCCTTCAGCAAGTCCTGAGTTCCCTCACCAGCTCTGATATATCTGTGTGGTCATCTTTGGGTTTGATGCCTTTAGCCATCTTGATTAGACAGCTCTGGACCAGGGGCGGACTGACCATTTGGAAACTCGGGCACTGCCCGAGGGCCCGAGGTCAGTAGGGGGCCCCATGAGATGCCCCTGGTAACTTTTTCATAGGCTTTTTTGAGTTTCAACAAGGACACAGGGGCCCCATGATCCCCTATTGCCTGGGGGCCCCATGAGTTGTCAGTCCACCCCTGCTCTGGACACATGTACAATAGTTCATTTGTCCTGGAACCAAGGCATAGTGAGTATATGCATTGTTATTATTACTATACAGGATTTATATAGCGCCAAAAGTTTGCTCAGCGCTTTACAATATAACGGGAGACAATACAGCAACAATACAGTTCAATACAAGAGAGATTTGAGGGCCCTGCTCCTTGGAGCTTACAATCTAGGAGACATTACTTGGCAGACAGGCAAAGAACCTGTTGCAAAAAAGCCTACCTTCTAGCAACATCTCATACTAAGGCTATAGTTCCACTTAAATTACTTCCTGCGATCATATTGTAAAACCACTACTATTCTGGGGGGGGGGGGGGGCACGCAGTGGTGCGATCTGCTATACGCTGTGTCTATCAACAGTTGTACCGGGCTGGCCCCGGTACCATGTGATCACTGTGACCAATCAAAGCGATCACATGTCAGTAGTACACAATGGCATTCATTCATAGCCATTCATTGTGTGCTATTGACAAGGGGTGAGGGTCGTTCAGTGCAAGAGGAAGAACTGCCCACCTTCACCACTGGACAAAAAGATTAAGGACTCATAGCCTCATCAGAACTGCCAGAAAAATCTTTGGAAAAATGTATGCAAGCTTGACTTTTTTAAAGGTGGTATGGGGGTCTCAGAGAAGGGAGGCATGGGGGACTTCCGATAGGATTTAGCCTATCTTTACAAGCATGTTGCTGCAAATCACACAGTTCCAAAATACATTGTACTAAACAAAGAACATCAAACGTACCAAACATATACAGCGTACAATATATCTAATATACTACCCTTATGGTTTTTGTTCTAGATGATGATGTTTATCTGGCTGATGAGTCAGAGCGAAAAGAATACGTACTAAATGACAGCACTATCATGTACTATGGAAATGATAATTACATTGGTGAACAGGGCTGGAACTTGGGACAGGTGACCCCAGACTTTACAAAAAGTCTTTTTCTTTTATCGGTTGAAAAAAAAAATATATATAATCATGTTTATATATAATGTTGATTTGTATGCACAAGCAATTCTCTCCAAGAAGGACACAGAAAGAGCAAGAATAGAAACATATTTTTAGTAGAGTTAGGAAGGGTTGGAATGTCTGACAATTCTTTTATTCCTCTTTATGACTTGCTGTCCTAGTAAGGATCAATCCCCCCATTTTTTATATAGGTTTTACGGGGACAGGAAGCAAGGGAAGATTTCCCCAGTGGGGTCATAGACAGAAGTTAAAACCTGACAGAGATTTTAAGTTCCATTCAAAAATAAAAGAAAAAATGGCTGGAGTTAGGCTTTAGAAATACACTCGCATGGTTGCTACCTGACTTTGAATGGTGAGAACAGATTGCACAGTGCGTGCATGGAACACTACACCTATTGATGCAGCACGCAGTTTCTGTTTGAATACTTTCAGTGTAAATTAATATTATCTAAAAAGATAATAATGACACCTAACGGTTCTAATAAAAAAAAGTAGCTCCTGATGCTCAGGTCCCATGACCTACCCATGCATAAATATTCAGAATGACAGTCACACTGTACTCTGACTCTGGACCTGGAAATTATTCAGTGGCTAACTAACAGAGTACACAGGTCTGGAGAGTGCCACAATGCAAAGACCAGCCACATTTTAGGCAGCCCCCACAAACATCCATTCCTGGGGCATCCAAGCACGACCTCCTGGGGCATCCAAGCTACTACTGAGGATACACGGACTGGAATAGCTGCATAAACAGACTAGCTCAAACAACGTGTATAGAAGTCATGATTAAATTAAAAAGAAAAAAATTGAGAAAAATAAAAAATGGATCCAATAGGAGGCTTCATTACTTAAATGTCTGATTGGCCCTCAATTGACGAGAAAGAAAATACATTTTTAAAAAATATTTCTCATTAAATTGTTGCTTATTAGTACTTAGCATTTTCATATGCAAACAGCAGGTAGAGGTCAGCTCTCCTTTTCCTAAGTTCTAGGCTTTATGTTGTTTACAGGAGTCAGTAACTCAAACTAAGAATCACACACAAATGAATGAGGCAGAGCAGTGGCATCCACCCATCCCACTGTGAATTGCTTTTTAGAGGGTCAGCAAGGACTAAGAATGAACATATGAGAAAAGCCCTATGACTGCTAAAAAGCACTGCCAATACAGTCCTTTATAAATCAGTGTTCCCTAGACTCCCTTAAAAAAATACTGGCACCATATTTGATATTCTGTTTTGAAGCCCTTTTTATAAAGGGTATGAGAAAATAATCGCACAAAAAGGATTTTTGCACATATGTACTGATCTAAACGCAGCTCGTTGCTTTCAATGAGCCTGTACACACAGGTGTGTAAATAAGTAAACTTGTAAAACTAAAAATGTTTAAATCAGTAAAATAGCATTACATTTAGTGAACAAAAACCTCTGGGTTATTGGTCTGTATTTTACATGTGCAAATTACACCTCCCCTTGAACAGTAGACTATATTATTTTTTTAACCACTTGAGCTCCTGAGGATTTACCCCCCTTAATGACCAGGCCTCTTTTTGCTACTCGGCGCTGCACTAATTCAACTGATAATTGCGCAGTCATGCAATGCTGCACCCAAACGAAATTTACGTCCTTTTTTTCACACAAATAGAGCTTTCTTTCAGTGTAATTTGATCACCTGTGCGCTTTTTATTTTTCACGCTATAAACAAAAAAAGGCCAAAAATTTTGAAGAAAAACAATATTTTTTACTTTCAGCTATAAAAAATATATAGTAAACTCAAAGTTGGTTATAAATTTAGGCCAAAATGTATTCTGCTCCATGTTTTTGGTAAAAAAAATCCCAATAAGTGTATATTGATTGCTTTATGTGGAAGTTATAGCGTCTACAAACTATGGTATAGATACTGCAATTTACGCCATTTTTCTGCTATACAGCGCTAGTTTAACGGACAATTGCGCGCGGTCATGCAATACGGTACATAAATGAAATTTACATCCTTTTTTTTCCCCACAAATCGAGCTTTCTTTCGGTGGTATTTGATCGCCTGGGCGGTTTTTATTTTTTGCGCTATAAAAAAAAAAAGGCTGGCAATTTTGAGGAAAAAAAAACAATATTTTGGACTTTTTGCTATAAAACATATCCAGTAAAAAAAAAAAAATGCAAAAATCAAATTTAGTCATAAATTTCTGCCAAAATGCATTCTGTGACATGTCTTTGCTAAAAAAAAAAAAAAAAATACGTGTAAATTAATTGGTTTACGTGAAAGTTATAGCATTTACAAATGGCGGGAAAGATAGTGGGATATTTAGGTTTTTTGTTATACTAATAATGGCGGCGATCAGCGAATTATGGCGCGTGATCAGGGACTTATGGCAGCGACTTATGGCGGGACTGCGGCGGACATTCTGACATTGGGGGGTACTGACTTGGGGTCACTGACATCCCCAAAAACACTAATACAGTGATCAGTGCAAAAAAAAAAACACTGACACTGTACTAATGGCAATGGGGAGGAAGGGGTTAACTTTATTTTGCAGGGAAGGGCTATAGGAGTGAGGGGAGTGTTTTACTAGGGGGGGGGGGGGGGTGTGTACTGGACAGGACAAGGCTGATCGAGAGAGAGAAACTGTTCTTTCTCGATCAGCTCATCCTCGAGCTGACAGGGAAGTGACAGACAGCACAGCTACTGCAGCTGTGCTGTCTGTCACTGTTTGCCGCCGATCGCCGGGAAATAGCCGCTAAGGAACGGCTGTGACCCGGCGACTCACATCTGTGGCGGTGATCGGTGGGACAGATAGGGCGGCGGCGCGTCTCGCGCGCGCCCCCTATTTGTTTACAAAACACACGTTTTTAAAACGTGGTTTTGCCTGCGAGTGCCGCCCTGCCGCCGTATACCTACAGTGGCTGGGCGGCATGCGGTTAATATTTGGCATTCTGAGAGCTAAGAGAATTTTTTACGTAAATGTACACGGATATATGCATATAAACGCACACACTATACAGGCCTTTTTTTTTCCACAGGAACTTTCTGTCAGGAAATTCCAGCATTCATACATCAGTACCGTGTGCAAAGACAAAAAGAGAAAAAAGAATAGATAACACTGAACAAGGAAAGGAATAAATAAATAAATAGGTAATATAGGGTCATTTATCTATTAAAGTCTACCCAGGTAAAGCACTAGATTTTAGGCAGGATCAACGGGTATGTCTGCACTTCAAACAGATATAAAAAAAAACTTCCAATGGCACATTTAACAGACAAGAAGAAACAAAGAGTTATTTATTGTTAAGATGTAATATATCCTTTAATAATCCTGAACTGAAAATTGCCTCCCACATCAACATGCCTGTACTAAACAGTGTAATAATAACCCTGGAGTCATCAATCGCAAAGAAATCTGCCCTAGGAAATGACAGATCAAATCAACAAGTCTGATTTTGTGGTGGCAAGGTAATCAAATGTTAGCACTGACATGTTGATTCATGACGCTTGGTACTGGCTTCACAGCATAGTGTGTAGGTATTATCAAGTTGTTCTGTGATGCTTGGTATAGACTTAAAGGTATACTGTACAGACCCCAGCAGGTATAATGCAGGCTTAGCTGTGCTCCCATATAAAATAAATTTCACTATATATACATGAGAGCCAGAGAAAGTACCCCATCAGTCTGTTGCTGCTCTTTTGCTGTCCAATCAGAGGCTGGGGTGAGAGAGATGACTTAGCTCTGATGCTCAGTTTGTAGTAAAATCAGGTCACCAGGCTGTGCTATGGGAGCTATGCTACTATGTGAACTAAATAGGGTTGCTGTATGTATTTAAACATCAGGGCAAGACATTTTGCGCCCTCGCAAGACAACCCCCTCCCCAAAAGAAAAAACGTTAACATTTTTAGCCTGTGCAGTGATGCTTTCTCAGCTCCTTGCCAATGATAACTCCGTGTGGAGACTAAAAGGGGAGCTGGGAAGAAGTGATGTTGCACATAGCACGGCTTGTATGGCATCTGATTGGCTGGACACCTCTTCTTCACGGATTGGCTGAAGCTTTCAGCTAACATCATCCAATCCTGTCTGAGGATGGTGACACCAGGACCCATAAGTGACCTTTTACCCATTTCTTCCAGGTCATTACTAAAAAGGGGAGATCAGTGAACAGGTGTTCACTGATCTCCCTCCCTTCTACTATGCAGGTCCCAGGTTTACTGATGGGCGCACGGAGCCTGGGAAGCATGGTAGGGCACATGGGCGGGGGTGGAAGCGATCTGGAGGCTGCACAGCTATTGGATCATGTTGACCTGACAGTCAGCCTGTTAGATTTACACACATTCAATGGGATGCATCCCCCAACATGCTGCAAAGGCCACTGTAGTATGGCAGTGGAGGGTAATACACAGCAGTATGCTTCCATTGCCATACTATGGTGGTAGTGCCCTTGCAGCATAATGGGGAGTGGTTGGGGGATGGTAAAAGTGTGGCTCTATCAAAGACAAGTATAACTAACAGGAAGCATCATTATCATGATGATTACACAGTACAAAAGGTGCTATATGTCTGTATGTATACAGCGTATGGCTGTACGTATCTCTGTATGTGCCTCAGAAAACAGAAATTGTGAGCTGGCCTGTGCACTGGGTTCCCATTGCTGCATGTGCCCTCCGTCACCTCTCTGTTGAATCACAATCTGCCCCTGGGCTGCAGCCTCACCTTCCACCCTCCTGAGCAGAGGAAGGACTATCACTCTGCCAGCAAAAGGCTTTGATTGCTGACTCATCAGCATTGCAAAATGCAGCGCAGCTTTAGCTGCCTGCTCCCGAAATTAAAAAAAAGAAAAAAGGAGAGTCTCTCTCTGCTCCTCGCCTCCTGGACCCCTCTGGTACACTGATGGGGTCCAGGGAAAATCATTAACATTACAGCAGGGTTGGCTGTACTGTCCTATAGATGGTCCTGGCTGTGGCTGCGCCCTAGGCAGTTGCCTAGTTTGCCTAGTGGTAGCAGCGGCCCTGTATACATATTTACCCAGATGAACACACTGTGTGCTTTTTACACTTTAACTTGTACTACACATCCACTTACATAAATAATGCAAATGTTTCTGAAGATTGGGAAACCTAAACGTGTGCTAAACAGGACCCAGCATGACAGCTGTATCATACTGACTTCACAGAACATTATGGGATTTCCAAAACAGAGCACAGCAGAAGCTGTCTGCTTTCAGATTGTTTCTCTTTAATATAATATCTGTACAGAGCAGGGAAAGGCAGCAGGGAAGGGGACATGTCACTGCTCTGATCACATCAGTCATGTGTGGGATTCTTTGCCTGAACTATAGAATTCTGTAGGCTTTCAACACAATCGTTAAGAATAGGTAAACATGTGAAAAGCAGCCAAGCAAGAAATATATAAAAAGCAGTATTTGAGTAAGTAATGTACATCAGAAAATGAATAAGTTTAGTAAAATCCGACTATAAGATGAAATAAAAGTATTTGTGCCACTAAAAATTATATATTGTTTCGCATTTAGTTTGAGGCAGACATTTTGCCAATCTGTTTGCTCATTCTGGAAAAACAAAATATGGTGGATATATCCCTTTTTTATGATCCGAAAGAAGTTTCAAGAGTATGCAGTGCAATGGTAAGTTATCATGTATTTGATTAAACAAGTTTTTCTGGTTCATTTGGTAACTCAAAAAAATTGGTCAAAATAAGCTACTTACTAGGCCAAACATTTCTGGACACCTCACCAAACATCTATATGGGCTTTTGGGCATCCCATTCCAAATCTATGGGGATTGATATGAAGCAGGGGCGGACTGACCATTCTTGCACTCGGGCACTGCCCGAGGGCATGGGGTCAGTTGGGGACCCCATGAGATACCCCTGGTACTTTTCATTGGCTGTTTCATAGGCTTTTTTGGGTGTGGACAAGGACACAGGGGCCCCATGATCCCCTATTGGCCCCTTGAGTTGTCAGTCCGCCCCTGATATGCAGTTGGAAGCAAAGGTTATGGTGTGTGTCCAGGGCTACTGACAGAGGTCACGGGGTCCCATACAGTCATCCTGACAGGGCCATCCCCCCCCCCCAAAAAAAAACAGTCTACTATGCTTCAGTTATGAATGAATCCAGTGAGTGATCAGTACCGATAACTTACTGTGTTCATTCAGGAAAGGAAGGGACAATTACTGGAATAGATCACCTGTATAGCTCTCTCTACAGCAGCTGAAAGCCGGCGGGAGGGAGGGAGAGGAGAGAAGAGGAAGCTAGCTTTCAGCTGTTGCAGAGAGAGCCATTAAGGGGATTAATTCTACTAATTGTCCCCCACACTGTACTGATCACCCTCCATGTCTACATTCGATTCACCCAGCTGCCTGAACCCCCCCGCTGGCCCGGGCCCTGTACAGGAGGACTGGTGCCCCCTTATCCATGGGTCCATGGGACTTTGTGTCCATTTAGCTGAAAGTGTATTTGTGAAGTCAGGTAATGACATTGGATGAGAAGACTTGATTTGCTATTGGCATTCCAAGTCACCTCAAAGGTATATTCTGTAGAGTTGAGGTCAGGGCACTAGGTAAACCACTTTACACCAAACTCATCAAAGCACATATTTATGAATCATGCTTTGCGCACAGTGGTACAATCACGTGTAGATAATGTAGTCAATATGCAAAATTCTAAATTTAACACCGATTGTCTTTAATGAGAATCGCCAGCATATGTTGCTGTATGGACAATACTCCACCTCCATCAACATTATCCTCAGGACATCGGTTTCTTCTCCACAAAGGTGTACAGCAAGCAAAACCTGTTCACATTGTTAATTTTCCAGCAAATTTTCAAACTGTGTTACTAAAGTCTTACAACAGTAAAATCAGTCTGTATATTCAGTAAAGCATGCTTTTATACCCACTGTGGAACCAGAGGGGGTAATCCTCTGCATTGTGTAAAAAGGCTGTTTGATCCTGCCTTCTCTGATCCTCCCCTTCTTCCACAGTCCCCAATCCATCTGCTGATAGTAGAGAGCCTTAGGAGGCACTCTGTACATACTCTGTTTGTTGTGGGGTTTTATTTTATGGGAGGGTGCTTATGATCGGCACCTGGCATATCAGTACTGCCTAAACAGAGGGTCAAGGGTCATGCAGCCTCATAGGACAGTCATCAGAGAATAAAAACTCCTTCTACAAGCTTTAACCAGTGCTTTGTTAAAGTGTTTTGGGTACCGTGGGAGACCGGATATAGTGAATGCAGGGTCCTGGGTTTAATAACACTTTAAAGCAGAGTTCCAGGAAAAAGTAAAAAAAAAAAAAGTCAGCAGCTACAAAAACTGTATCTGCTGACTTTTGAAAAAATGGACACTTGCCTGTCCCTCAATCCCGTGGTGTCCCCCCGCAGTCCATTTCACCGACTGCCCTGTGTTCCCAGTCCCGGCACCCAGCTGTGACAGCTTGCGGCTTCACAGCCGGGTGCCCACTGCATATGCAGGAGTAGCACTGCACTTTGTGAATGGTCCTGTAGTCTTCTGGGACCTGTCACGTTTCCCAGAAGACTACAGGGAGGGAGGACAACTTCTGCTTCCGATCACCAAGGCGATCGCAGTGGAATTAGGAGCAGGTACCTGACAATTTCGGGTACCTGCTCCCCCCCACTGGTCCCCAAAGGTGCCAATCCTTAACAGTGAGCGGGGGAGCAGTCCTTAAAGTGGAACTTCCCCTTTTGGGTGCTGCTCCACTTTAAGTAAGTTTGGAATGCAACAGGTTAACTTTACTCCCCCTCTCCCAAAGCAAAATAACTTCCATTTGCTCCCCCATGGCCCTCTTCAGTTACCAGGAACAAAAAAATCCATTATGTATATGCTGAGTTGCTTATACAGTAGATCACATAAGGCTCTAGGTTCTTTTTATGTGAAAACATGGGTGATCAACCCAGCAATCAGATGTTCCTTCGTCCTTAAAAGTAGCAGTGGGGGAATGAAGGAAAGGTTAATATATTCTGCTGGGAAGAGGGATATTAAACCAAAGCTCTTGCTCTGCCCTATGTTTATGTGAAGCGACAGATACTTTATGTCCATCAAAGATGGTAATCTGTCATGCATATAGGCTTCAGAAATACTTGAAGTTGTTCATGAGCTTCAAAATGACACCAACCATGGTAGGTAGCTGATTCTCAATGGACTTTAACACCTGGATCCATATGTTGTCTTAAAGGTAGTCTTCCTTCCCAGTACTATAGCCAGTTTTCTAAAACAGATTCCTCCATCCATACAAACCCCCCCCCCCCCACATCTGGTATTCTGGCAGTTGGACCTGGCACTGTCAAAGAACACCAATTAGCATCTGCAATCTATTAAATCCAGCTGCTGATCGAGAAAGGTTTTCCAACATTCTTCTTCCACAGACATGGGTTCACATAACAGGAGTCAATGTCTCTAGAACCATTTAGGCACAATCTAGGAAGTTATTCCCTTCCTCCTCTACATAAATAGCTATAGTAATTTTAATTTTGTTGTACTGTTGTTACCATTTATTTGGAATTCTAAGGATGTAAACAAATAATTTGATATTCTATAAAAGGAAACATAACAATTTCTTACTAATGTAATAGATATAAGTGTCTCTTTTTTTCTTTAAGGTTAACAGCAATGATGACAAAGGAGTGATTCTGGGCGACTGGAGTGGGAATTATGCTGATGGCCGCAGTCCTACAAGCTGGTCAGGAAGTGTGGCCATACTAAGACAGTGGGCAAAGTCTGGTCCAGTTCGATATGGACAGTGCTGGGTCTTTGCTGGAGTACTGTGCACAGGTACATTTAATGCCCAAACCACAGCATCGGGACAAAAAAATGTTTTTCCATGTACAAATTGACATACTGGACTATTAATATCAACAGTCAAAATGATCCCCAAAATATACAGTGTATCTGGGAATAGCAGTATAAAAAACTGCTGAAGAGTAATTCATAAAAATCAGAATTCGAGTTTATTGAAGTCATATGGTTGAAATATGGATTATGATTGGCTGTCATATATTTCCCTACTAATCTAAGACATAAATGCAGGAAAAAGCAATATGGCGTAAAAAGCAAATGACTTACAATCATCATGGTTTGATCTCTTTTAGTAATGAGATGCCTGGGAATTCCAAATCGCACTGTCACCAATTTTTCCTCTGCTCATGACACTGATGAAAATCTCAGCATTGATACTTTCTTTGCTCCAGACGGGAACAATCTGGGAGGATCAGACAGTGTTTGGTAATGATGAATAGCTGGTCAAGAGAAGATATGATTTATTTTTTTTTTTACTTCCTCATTAGTAAATATATTTTATTGCTTTGAATTGTGAAAACGTAACCATTGTATCTATATTTCTGTCTGTACGATAGAGGCTTGCTTTGGTGTAATAGTTAAAATAGAGGCCTTCACAATAAAACTAAGAGGTGCTAATAATTATAAAGCTATCCTCCTTAGGAGCTGCAAACTTTGTAAACAGCAGAAGCTGTGGAAAAACACTTGTCTTAAAGAAGAATCCTACGTATGGATATATTATACATAGTCATATTGGTCCAACGTGGATCAATTTAACTATGTACAGTATATACCAACCCTGGCTGATGCCCCTAGAAATTGGAAATCACTCCAGTGTTCTCCACCACCTCCTTCTGGGTCCCGCATGGAGTGGCTGCCCTACTGCTGTGTGGACACAGGGGGGTTTATTTACTAAAGCTGGAGAGTCCAAAATCAGACTCCCTTCTGCATAGAAACCAATCAACTTCTAACCTCAGCTTGTTCAATGAAGCTTTGGCAATGAAACCTGGAAGCTGATTGGTTTCTATGCAGAAGTGAGTCTGATTTTGCACTCTCCAGCTTTAGTAAATAAACCCCAGGATGTCGGCTGCTTGGCACGGCCACCATTCTGAGATTGCATTGTATTTTCTTAAAGATTCCAAAGCATTCTCTGAGTGGACAAGGTGGAGAGGCAGAGCAGTGTTTACATGTGATTTATAACTTCAGGGGGCATCTGAAAAGGTATTGTATATACAAAGTTACATCGGTCCAAGCTAGACTAATATAACTATGTATAAAATGGCAATACCAGGAATTTCTCTTTAACCATTTCCATACCGGGCACTTTTACCCCTTCCTGCCCAGGCCATTTTTGAGGTTTCAGCGCTCTCACACTTTGAATGACAATTGCGCGGTCATACAACATTGTACCCAGACTAAAATTTTATCATTTTCTTCACACAACTAGAGCTTTCTTTTGGTGGTATTTAATCACCGCTGGGATTTTTATTTTTTGCTAAATTAACAAAAAAAGACCGAAAATTTTGAAAAAAAAAAACACGTTTTTCTTTGTATCCCCCAAATGACCACTTTTTACAAAGTAGACAGTCCGACGTACTTCATAAGAGGCATGGCGAGTTTTTTGAAGTTGTATATTTTTGTCATAATTTTTCGGAAAATGAAAAAAATTATTTTCACTATTTTTTTTAAATACTGTCACCAGTGCAGTACAGAGTCATCATATAACTGGCATGGCGCTGATCACGGACACTGACAGTATGAAAAAATATATATATAATTTTTAAAAAAATGATTTTATTAATTTAAAATTTTTATTATATTCTTTTTTTTAAGATTTTTTTTTCATATTTCACTATGACCAAAGTAGTGCAATGTTACCATAGTAACATTGTACTACTTTGGGGAAGTGATCAGTATTTTTTTTTCTTTTTTTACAATTTGCTTATAGCAAAGAATTACTTTGCTATAAGCAAGCATTTACCTGAATGACATCGATTCATTCACAGCTAGACACTAGTATACAATGGGTGGCATGAATGAAGCCATCCATTGTATACAACTGTCATGTGACCTGCTGTGATTGCTGCTGATTCACAAACATGCAGTCTGTAAATTAGCAACTGGCCACACCTAGTTCTGCCCACTACTTCTGGATTGGCAGCAGTGCCTCTATTACTTAAACCCTCCCACTGTGAGCTGCAATGTCTGGAAGGAGGAACGTGTGAGACACAAATGAAGGATAACTTTACTCAGTCAGGGAAGGTAAAGGAGGTTTTTTTTGTACCCTATGAGGCTTTTGTGTTGGGCAGGTGCAGCATGGTGCAGCGGCAATAAAAAACACAGAGGCCCAAGATGCTGAAACTGATGTATTGCAGAACTAGTAAACAGTTACAACAGGCCAAGAGGGGGAAAGTCACCCAACCAGGAACTTACAAGGATTGGAGCAGAGAATCATTGATGAGAAGGCCCGAACTGAAGAGAGCACATGTCAAGGAGAGCAGAATGCAGCCAGGCTGGTCCAAACCAAAGGGGAGCATTCTGAAGATGAAGAAGCAGGCCTTAAGCTTTCCCTGCTCCTCTGGAACCTCTCCCTGCTGGTGTGCCTACAAGGCACTGAGGGAATCATAGAGAAGCCCATTTTCTCTTGACTTCCTCCTTAGCTGCATTGTCATCCCAGACGAGTACCACCTGCAGTGGAGAATGTAGACTGCACCTGTCTACATGTGCAGCACATTAATATTGGGTTTCAGAGTTGGGACATTTGTTGTTACTGGCTTTCCCCATTAGGGAGTTTTCCCACACTTCCTGTTGTTATTAGGGCATAAAGTTAAGGAACATTTTTCCAAATGGGACACGGACATCAATAAAAATTTCACAGAAATTCTAACCTTTCCATGTTTTATCCAAAGCTGAATAGGGGGTCTGCATGTACTTTCAGATATCTTGCATGGGAATCCCTAAGTTGAGGCCCTATGTATAGGGTAGCTCTGTAGTCTCAGGGGCTCAATAGAGACGCGTATATCAGTAAAAGATAATAACAAAATCCTGTACAATAAAAACAAAAGTATTTATTGAAATCCCAAGGTGCTGTAATTTTGTCACGTTTTAGGATTGTGTCAGAATCACAGTAAACTGAACACAGGTTAAATTTAGTCATCCACGGATACCCACCTTTACCATGCACAACTGCTTTTCCCTTATCCATAATCCCAGCATAAACTCATTCTCAGGGCTTACACAGGACTAACATCCTATATTCCCTACCCATGGGACAGTGTTGGGGCCTAGTCGCCCAGGGCTGAGTACTGCATTCTAGGAATGCCTATGAAGGTCACATGCCCATACCCAAAGGTACCTGCTTTTTTCAAGTGCATTCAACATGAGCAAGGTAAATATCAGTAGGTGTGATTTTTTAATTACATTTTTCAATAAAGTGTTCTCATTTTACTGTGAATCCCTGTACTCTAATGCTAATGTTTGCATTTCAAAAAATGATGAACACACCATTTTACATTGGCTTCTACAGGAACTTTCATGTATGGAATGAGGCTTGGTTCACCAGAGATGATATAGGATCATATTATAATGGATGGCAAGTTTTGGATGCAACCCCACAAGAGACAAGTACTGGTTGGTGTTACAATTCAACTATAAAATAAAATAATACATCTTCTTTATAAGATATGTACTCTAACATCTCTTTTAGAGATGAGCGAATTATTCAAAAATTCGATTCGGCTGATTCGCCGAATTTGCGGAAGAAATTCGATTCGATGCGAATTTATTCGCTGCGAATTTAACTTATTAAAAGGGTTTCTAGGCTTCAGAGAGCCTTTATATTAGTGCAGAACACTGTACCTTTAATTTAAATGCCCTTGGAGTCTGCTGGGGAAGAGAAATAATACTGTCAGTCAGTATGACATGCAGATGAGTGCCGTCGATCTTAGAATCACCGCACACTTCACTCATTTGGGCAGTCACGGGGCACGACGAAGAAGAAGAAGAAGAAGAAGAAGAAGAAGAAGAAGAATGAAAAGAAGAATGAAAAGAAGAAGAAGAAGAATGAAAAGAAGAAGAAGAAGAATAATGAAAAGAAGAATGAGAAGAAGAAGAATGAAAAGAAGAAGAAGAAGAATGAAAAGAAGAAGAAGAAGAATGAAAAGAAGAATGAGAAGAAGAATGAAAAGAAGAATGAAAAGAAGAATGAGAAGAATGAAAAGAAGAATGAAAAGAAGAAGAAGAAGATTGAAAAGAAGAATGAGAAGAGGAATGAAAAGAAGAATGAAAAGAAGAATGAGAAGAATGAAAAGAAGAATGAAAAGAAGAAGAAGAAGAATGAAAAGAAGAATGAAAAGAAGAAAGAAGAAGAATGAAAAGAAGAAGAATAAGAATGAAAAGAAGAATGAAAAGAAGAAGAAGAAGAATGAAAAGAAGAAGAAGAAGAATGAAAAGAAGAAGAAGAAGAAGAATGAAAAGAAGAATGAGAAGAAGAATGAGAAGAATGAAAAAAGAAGAAGAAGAAGAATGAAAAGAAGAGGAAGAAGAATGAAAAGAAGAATGAAAAGAAGAAGAAGAAGAATGAAAAGAAGAAGAAGAAGAAGAATGAAAAGAAGAATGAAAAGAAGAAGAAGAATGAAAAGAAGAAGAAGAATGAAAAGAAGAAGAAGAAGAAGAAGAAGAAGAATGAAAAGAAGAAGAATTCCAGTACAGCAAAAAGTGTATCTGCAGAGAGCTCCGCTATTTCTGACAGTTCTCTGACAGTTCCTTCACATTTACAGCGGTTGAAACATTGTATCTATTTGTTTCCGAATAAAAACATCTGTATCCTAAATGGAAACAAATAGAAACAATGTTTCAACCGCTGTAAAATGAACTGTCAGAACTGTCAGAGAACTGTCAGAAATAGCGGAGCTCTCTGCAGTGACACTTTTTGCCGGCTGATCGGGGAAAATTCGATTCGTGCATCCGAAGTTTGCTAAAATTCGGATTCGGTGCGAATCGAATTTTTCCT